GGGTTTGTCCCTTTTTAACCCAGCGCTGGGTTATATTTAACCCAGCATTTTTTAGAGTGTACTCTCTCTCATTACCACTATAATGAACTTTGTAGTTTTAACTATAATGGGACTATAAAATTCCTCTATCCATTTTCCAACAGCTTGTCCTGTGAAGTTAAAACCCAAGTTCAGTTCATTTTGTGAATATACATCAGTCTAATTGGTAAGGAAGAGTAATTCAGCTCTTTAAGGCAATTAATTAACTATCTCTAAACCCCACAGGTGTCCCTATCAACAGATTCCTACTTTGTGCACACCAAACCTCTTCAACACGTATGAAATAAGTAGTAGTAATACCAATAAAAACTATGTTTTTAGGCATCCAAATTAATGTCAGACAGCTTTAAATCACAGTAGCCTACCTCCAATTAGCCTATAGCACAAACATGTTGACTAATTAAATGACTCCCATTTCAGGTTTCTACCAAGAGCCAAGGAAAAACAAGCTCGGGTAAGAATGAAACTGTGCTGCCATGTAATTATGAATATATGTCATATTTTTTAAAGGAGAAGTACAATTGTGGTGATCTCATTCGCCTACAAAGGACGCAAAAAATAAAACCGCAATGCATATGTGCAATATAGATTGTTTTAAAAACAAGATATATAAAACCGTTTGCCTGCATTTAACATGAAAGCAGCAGTAAAAATGCTTTTACTAAATAATTGTAATACGCCTGGTGTTTCTGTAGATTAGATGGGGCTCTCACGTGACTGATTATGGGCGGGTTTAAAGAGGACTGGAAGCCATCTTACACACTCGCTTTACACCCCTAAATATATGTCACAACTCTACACCTATTATTCGCAAATACAAACACACAGAAAGAGATCCTCAGCCACATTTGGTAAGTATACCGAAAGTTACATTTATGCTGTACATGGTGAGATTTTAGAGCGGTTTTGTGGCTTCTTTTGTAGCCGGGTGTTAACATATTTGTCTGTGGTGTCTTTTGTATATTCGACTCGGTTACAGCATTCGGGGAATTGCTTTAGTAAGAGCTAAATCTTTTCTATCCAATGTTTTATCGTTTATAAACAATCGGTGTTTAGTAGTTTAGACCGTTAATGATGAATCTGTGACTGTTACTTCGCGTGCGGCCTGTGTGTGGACGCAAAAGCTATCGAGCTCGAGCACAGTGCTAATGTTTTCTTTTTGACCTCACACAGTTCAAATATGAAGTTCTACTGACAACAAAGGCAACATATTAAAATGGCGTTATTATAGATGTATTTGTTAAACGACATCCGACTGTTGAAGTTCACTAATATGAAGCCGGCGGCTGCGTAAGTTAGCTAAGCATTAGCTGCGTTACAGCGAGTTTCACGTTGTGCGGAATCAAGACGGTTAACATTTGACAGTGTTAACCAAATAACAACACCGTTATATTGGTTACACTGAGATACATTGGTTTGCTGTGTTCGGTAAGCGAGTTTCGTGAACTATGGACTTTCGGTTATGTTAAGCTAACTAAAAGTGCATTTACATAGTCTCTAATTTTATCCAGATTCCACAGCTGTTTGGCCAAAGTGCCACTGCACCTGTTTTACAAACACAACATCAGCGAAGTCGTCCTGTTAATGTAGCTACATGAAATCTGTAAATGGTTGCGCATCAATCAGCGAGGCTGTTTTAAAATTAGGCCCATCATGTTGACATTGTGCCAGGTGCTGTTGCCTTCATTACTGAGGTCAGATTTGACATTAAAGGGATAGTTCACGCAAAAATGGAAATGTGATGTTTATCTGCTTACCCCCGAGGCATCCCAGATGTAGGTGACTTTGTTTCTTCAGTGGAACACGTATGATGATTTTTAACTCCAGCCGTTGCAGTCTACATTAATTTAATTTATAATGACAATTTAAACCCTTTTATTTTTTTGGCAAACAAAGTGCTGCACAACAGAGGTTTACTGTTCAAATTAAAAATAAAACCGATGTGATAATTCCTTTTATAAATAAAGGTTTATTAACCGGGCTCGAAATTAACTTTTTTACTTGGTAGCACTGGTGTCAAAAAGTTAGGAGCACCAGCAAAAATTTAGGAGCGCCACAACTACAAATGATATATTAACAGATTTTATCCTTACATTCTTAACTTTAATGCAGATTTTGTATTGGTTAATATTAGCTGTCAATCTCTGTCACTGCTTTCCACTAACTACCGCGAGAAAAAGAAAGGGCTGAAGAAGAGAGAAAATGAAAAGAACACTGACAGATTTCTTTTGTAAAAGAAGAACTTAAAGTTACATTCAGCTCTGCCAGTTGCACCGAACGGCTGGCAGCTAGGGGTGTGCGATATTGACAAAAAATTCTCTATTTTCTGGGATTTTATCGATAACAATAATTTGACTGAATGTTACTGTGCTGATATCTTAAGGACTACAGTGGACAGATGACTCCTAAAATTTTTTATTCATATTCTGTGTGGTGGTCAGTTCACAGCAGTGACAGAAATTAATCTTTCAATAAGTTTAAATAGATTTTTACCTTTTTATGGTCATTTTTACCTTAAAGCCATTTTCTCTAAAAGTGTGCATTATCATTTGAGTCAAATTCTTATATTTAATCAGTCAATTATAATAAGACATTTGGGCTGTTATCAAGCAAATTAAAGTATCAATCAACAAAATTCATCTTTGCAATGCAGAGGAAACACAGAAGCTGCATCTGAAATGGCATGCATTTACACACTGATTAATGCAGGACATGAATGCATTTAGCCTGCAGTTACACATGCATAAATATTTTAATATTGTAGACATAAAACGTTGAATACTGATATTTGAAACTTTAAATGTGAAATTAAAACCGCCAGCTGGTGGCAGTAAGTCACTGTTAATAAGTGAGTCATTGCGATTGAACCGAATCGTTTAACGAATGATTCATTCAGGAACGAAACGCCGTCATGTTGCTCAGAGATGCAAAACAGCGCTGTGACTGTGATTTTTGTTGGCAAAAAGAGGAAATATAGTGTGTAAAACGTAAGTCTCTTAATTTTAAATAAACAGTTGTATAAAATCAATATCACATTTGTAATCAGGCTGATTTTTGGAGGAAACGGCACTCTTCTTGTGATATTGATACTATATACTGATACTACTAATCAAGGTCTTCAGGATTACTGAGGCTACAGACAAGTGAGGTTTTTGTCAGGGTTGGAGCTAAACTCTGCAGAACATTTTGCCTACCCCTGAACGATATGAAATGATATAAAGGCCCCATATCTTGAATTTTGTGATGCATTTCATAGCGGAGCCGCTAGATGTCTTTTAACCACTCTCTCCGAAACCTGTACGCCTTCTATTCGGCTGGTGGATCAACATTCACCACATGATCGCGATCACCAGCACCATTATTTGTAACTTTAGGTGGTTCACAAAATAAATCTGTCAGTGTTTCTTTTTTTTTTATTTTCTCTCTTCTTCAGCCCTTTACGTTCCCCGCGGTAGTTAGCTCCCTGTCACCTGACAGCGGAAAGCAGTGACTGGGTGATTGACAGCTAATATTAACCAATATTAATATCTTCAGACTGCTAAATAGTAATGTATTCTGACAGTTTAACGTTAAACTAAACTTTTATTTTGACGTGTTGCTTTGAAGAACTTGCTGCTGCTGTGTATGTGATATGACGGTAGTTTTCTCAAATGAAACGATAAAATGCTAATGAAGTGACTCTCAGAGCAGCTGGAGATGACATTCGTGTTCATATCATATAGTGAGACGGCAGAAGCTGATAACTCCGCAAGCGTCATCCGCACTTTAGTATGTGTAAACAAAACAGTGCGCCGCGCCATTCATTCATTGCGGAAATCATGGCACCTTATGCGTGATATCAAATGCTTCCGCAGATTTATAGCATTTCACCTGAGCATTGCGAATCATGCGTATGGCCATGATAAGTGCTGAATGAATGACAGGCTTTCTGTTGTAACATCGTGCAAGGTAAATAAAGGTGACATCTAGTGGAGAAGACTAATGATAAGATTCAAGTTAATCAGATCTTGTTTTAAATGTGCTGAATTAAATCCCGGAAAAGATCAATTTGCGGCTTTTGAGAATCGATATCGAAGGATTTCATTTTAAAAAAACGATTAATCGAAAAATCTTTTTTTTTTTTTTTTTTGCCCAGCCCTACTCGTCACTTTCAAAATTTACCAACAGGACTGTCAAAAATCCCGTTAAAATTGTGATTTGTGAATCAAGTAAATATTTTATAAAACAAGTTTTATAATCCGCAATTGTGTCTAGTTTGCCATGTTTTAAATAATTTATGTACTCTGACATAATATGTATAATTTGCGCTGTGTGGGGGATATTTTATATTCTATCAAAATCTAGCAGGGTCTCCGTGGGATCTTAAAGTCTTTCAATTTAGTTGTATCAAATTTAAGGCCTTAAAGTCTTAAATTGTACAAGAAAGTCTTAATTGTGATTTCAAGAGGTCTTAAATTTGGGGACGGAAAGACCAGAATTGCGATTATGGCTCAATGTGACGATTAAACTTCAAAAGGCTTTGAAACATGAGCGCTGCACGTTCAAAGTCCGGTGCTGCACTGCTTTGTTCTGCCGTTATCGGGGAAACGGTTATATTTCTCCCAAACGCGCCACCTGCTGACAGAGAATGAATGTGCAATTTCAATAAAACTTGTTTTGATCGGAGTTCAGACAAATGCGAAAATCCACCCATGTTTTTACAATGCAGACACGCAGAGCTTTAAATGTGAGCTGGTGGATCGATAAGAAAACAATATATTATAAAAATCTTAATAGGAGTGGGCGATATGGTCTGTGCTAAAATCGTAAAAAGTTAACTGTGCGATTTGACATGATCAAGTATATTGTGAAAAGCAAACAAAACACACCTACTGAGTGCATACATACATTACCTGATGAGTTAACATAGGTTAAAGTAATGCACGTACGCATTTAGAATGCCTTCTTTCACTGCATGAATCAGTCTATTAAAATGCATTTAGAATTATCACATGATTCAAGATATGGGGGCAGAAAATGTATATTTATTAGGGATACTCCGATCGACCGGAGATATATTGTGGCGAGCGCCACAAATAAATGGCACAACCACCTGAGCCCAACTTCGGTCTACTCACCACCTTAATTTTAACTGTGTTTGTAGCCGTCGCCATAGCCAGACTGATAAACAAACAGAGCGGAAGTTAACTTCGGGCCAGGCGCGTGCGCCTGATGAAACGGTCTATATAAAGCTTGAAGCATCAGAATCGGTATCGACCGATCACCATGACAAGAAATCGGTAATCAGTATCGGCTGCAAAAATCCTGATCAGAGCATCCCTAATATTTATATAATTTCATGTAGTTAATATCACACGAAGATTGCCTTTTTTTCCCCCCTCAAAGTCAGCATGATTAAAAATGTGTTATTGATTTTATGCAACAGTTCAATAAACAAGAAGTTAATATTAAGAGACTTGCATTTTAGACACCATATTGCCTGCTTTTGTTCTGTTTTGCCAACAAAAATCATTACAAACAAAGCCACAGCACTGTTTTGCATCTCTGAGCAACATGACGGTGTTTTGTTCCGGAATGAATCAACCGTTTAAATGATTCTATTCAATCGCAATGACTTGCTTATTAACTGTGACTTGCTGCCACCTGCTGGCGGTTTTAACTTCACATTTAAAGTATCTAAATTTTTTTTTTTATAATTTCAAACATCAGTTTTGAATGTTTTGTTTAAAATATCAAAACCTTATTTATGCATTTGTAACTGCAGGTTAAAATATTCTATGTCCCTCTGAGCTGCATTAACCTTTTAGGCGCTAGGGATTTTTGGAGAAATGCTGAATTTTGACATCAAGAT